CTTAGAAACGGATCCCATGTCACTGATTCCAAAAACTGAACTCTGTGCCCTTCTGGAAGCCAAAGACGTGCCTCTTTACCGCCACTCATTTCTGCCCTTGGGCATGTTGTATTAGCTGGTGTCTGTCAGTAGTTCTAGACACACGTCACCCAGCAGCACGGAGTCACATCAGCTTTTCTGTCACTTCAGGGAGCCTTTGGGAAAAGCAAATGGAATGGCTATGCTTCACAGTTTTTGTTTGATATTAATTTTCTTTCTTTTTTTAATAGCAGAGAAGGTGGGGAAGAAAACGTGGAATGTCAAGAGAGATCTCACCCCAAGGACCCCTGCAGCCCTGCCTGTAATGAGAGGCACCAGGCTCACTGGAGCTCATGTCTTAGGAGTGGGCACGTCACCACTGTGGTCATCCAGGGATGCTCAACAGTCAGTACAAAGCTGAAATACCATTAACCAGGCCCAAGACGGGCCACACGCATTCAATGCCAACCTCAGCTTTAACCATCAATAATTTAAGAAAAAGAAAGGACTCTTAAAGAAGCCTGCCTGGTCTTCAAAATAGGGATGAGGTGACCACAACTCCTCAGAGGCTGGTCTTCTGACAAGAATCACAGACCAGACCAGCTAGAAGGGACCTCCGAGATCATCTGGTCCAATCTTCTCACTTCTGAAGCCCTGAGAAGTCGGGGGCCGGGGCCAGAGACAGTCACCAGCCCACCAGCCCCTCCACTCCAGCTGGCCTCCCAAGGAGCCCTCAACCCCTGCCAAGCTTGATTTCTTCTTCAAATGAAGCCTGACCAGAGCTATTTATTCACTTAAAATATAAGCTCATGGAAAGTCTGACTTCTCAATCCAAGGCACGAAACTGAGTCCAGGATCACACAAGTCCAAATGGACTCAGAATCCAGCCCCACAGTCCCGAGGCTGCTGGGCGTCTGACCACAGTTAGCTCATGGTCCGCACCATAATCGCTTACTGAAGGTAGTTATTTTAAGTTCTAATGCAACCTATTTACAGAACTTTGGATGGAATGAAGTTACTCAAACATTGGCTTTCACTGTTAACTTACTAATTCTATAAAACCTTCATATTTTAATTCTTTAGCAAAACCAACATAGAATAAAAGAAGATAACCAATCCAAGTGAGCAAAGCCTTATAAACTGCTCAAAAAGCATCCTAGCCAGTGGTTCTCCACCAGGAATGCACGGCTGGCCTCCACGTTTAGAGACTTCCCTCCTTGGGCCTGGGGGAGACGAGGACCGGGCATCCCCGAGCTTGGAGACCTCCAGGCTCATCTGGACGGCTGTTTGAGGTCGGGTAGGCTTTCCTGGAGTGTGTGTACTAGGAGGAGAAGGGGACTAGACTTCTGATGTTTAAGGAGTCTTTTTCAGGCCAATTTCCTGGCTTCTTGCCCATTTTTCAGCAGAAATCTTCAGTGCTACACATCCTGGCTAGTCTTTTGCAACATGTGGGAATTCTCTCCACAAGAGCAGTCTGGAGCCTGGGGCTCTGGTTTGGAACCATCTTTACTCCAGCCCCGTGTTCTTTTGCTTTTCTTCAGCAAGAGCTGCACTGATGGTAACTGGAGGCAACCATGTCCTCTGACTCCCTTGCCTGTGCAGTGAGAGCTGTGAAGTATCCTAAGTTTCATCTCAAGGCCACGGTCACCTGTTGATCCCAGCTATTAGCTGTGGCTTAGCTGGGGTTGGCTTAGAACCTCAGTTTCTCTGTCCACAGCACAGCATGGTGATTAGGAATAGGCTCTGGGCCAGATGCATGGGTTCAAATCCTGCACAAGGCGTTCTGGCCTCTGTCTCCCAGCTTTAATACCGGGAGGACTGCCACACCCCCTCAAGGTGGCGAGGAGGGTCAATGGGGTTCAGAGATGCATGGCACAGAATAGGCACTAAACATGGTAGTCCTTGTTAACATACTATTATTCATTGCAATTCCTTTCTCTTTTGTACTCTCTTGACCAGTAGAGAGCTTTGGCTTTACACTAATCCAAACTGCTAACAGTGGAAGATGACAGACCTTTGTTCTCTCATATAATCAGACGCTATTCCATCCAAACCCTGACAGCAGCATGGATTTCTAAATTCAATGATTTGCCTTCATTTCCAGAACCATGATTAGCGATGTTCCCTAAAGTTGTTGTTCAACAGCTTACAAATGAAAGTGCTCTTTTTTTGAAGAGCAACCCATTCCACCATCCAAACACCCACCATACTTCCAAAACGCTGCTCGCCAGCCCAGGGACTTCTCATCTGACGGCACTTGCTACCAGCCTCACTCTCTGCTGCAGACAAACCCTCCTTAGAATCTTGGCCATCGTGGGTCCACTCCTGTCCCAGGGGCTCCTTCCCCACATCCTCGCATGGCTTGCCCCAACTTCAGGCCTCTGGTCCAATGGCACCTCCTCCAAAAGGCTAAGATGACACTCCTGCCAAACCTTTGAGCCAGCGCAAGCAGCCAGTTCACCTCAGTTAACAATGGTGTCAAGTGACCTGCTCACGGGCAGAGCTGGGACTGAATGAAGTCTTGGCTCCCAGACTCCTGTCCTCAGGGGCACCTCCCAGGGGTCAAGGGCAGAGCATTAGATGAGGGGAGAGGCGGGTGGCAAAAGTAAAGCCTTCCATAAGGAAAGACTGAATGGCTGTGTTTCTAAAGCATCTCTTGTTCATTCGTTCATTCGTTCATCATCCACTTACATATCTCTCAGGTGCCTCCTATGGGCCAGGCAGACAAACACACAGAGTACCAGACACTCTGCAGAGCTCATCAAATAACTGCAGAAAGAAAGAGGGAATGACAAAACGGGGCTACACCCTCACTGTCTCTCCCTCCTTTCAAGGCCACCACACTCATCTTTCTGTGGTTGTCCCCTTGCCTGCTCTCCTGGGAGCCTGCTGCAGGTCTGACGGCTAATGGGAGAGGACCCGTTTCTCTCCACACAACGACTGCTAATGACTGCCAACTCCAAAGCTTGCTAAGGGACTCCACCTCACTGGCAATAAATTAGGTGCCCAAATGGTGCCAGTTACTCAGGACCCCATGCAAAGAGACCACAAACAGTAACAGCTGGCTTGTGTTGGACAAAAATATGCAATATGCTTTTTTAAGGTCATGACCTCACACCTAGACTACTGCAGTAGCCCTAACTCCGTACCCTGGTGCACCCCACCGCTAGGCGAGTCCTCTGTGAGGCTTTCTGTGAGCTGCTCTGGTTAGAGAATACCTGAGCTGTGTACACAGCACAGCCCCTCCTCTACGGCACTGGGACTCTGTGCCACCAGCCTGGGTCACTCCTGCTGCACTTCCCAAATGTCCCCAAAAGCACCAATTCATTCACTACCTCCCAAACAAGGCTTAGCTCAGGGTGTTTCCCCACTCCACCTGGGATGCACTTCCCAACCTTCCAGAAACTTCCTTTACCTTGCCTGACCTCTCCTCCACAGCCCTGGGGTTGAGCAAGGGGCTGGCTCTAAGTAAGGCTGTCTGGATTCACATACCTGCTGAGTGGCCTCGGGCAAGTAATTCAGCCTCAGTTCCCCTGTCTGGAAATGAGACCAGAGGTTCCTTCCTTTAGAGGCTGCAAAGGCCAAGTGAGGTCCCCCCCGAGTAACACCCCGGGCACAACGACTGGGGCACAGAGTGGGCACCAACAGGTATGCATTTCCGTGCCCATCCCCAGTCTCCGCAGGTCACTTCTCTCCAGGAAAATTCTCCTCCACCCTCTACCGAGGCTGTTTCCTGAGGGTTTCCAGGCTCCCCGCTCCTGTGTTGGAATGCACACGCTCTTGAGTTCTGCGCGATCTGGCACCGTCCTCTCGGTGTGAACCAAACTGTGTCAGGCCGTAGCTGATCACGCTAAACCATGTTCCTACAAAGGAAATCTAGCCCAGCGCCTCCGCTGGCTCCCCTCTCCCCCTCTCCATGCACTGCCAGTGGGGGAGGCAGCGTGTGGCCTCAGCCAAGGACACTGCCAAGCCCGGCTGTCACCTCCCTATAAGGATGGAGTGGCCGCAGCTGAACTCCGCATTGTTTTTCCACGTGGTCTCTCTGTCTGGTGACCAGGAGCATTCCCTTTGGAAGATCCTGCGAGAGGGAGGGTTTCTCCACCCATGGCCCCATCACCACCACCGTCCCTGGCAGGACCCAGCGCGTTACTACAGAAAAGATGCCTAAGGTGGGAGAAGGGGTACACTTCATCCCTAACCTAACCCCCCCGCCCCTACCGCGTCAGACTGAGTGATCCAAAGCCCCTTTCAGCTTATTCAAAAAGAACCACTTTCATTTTTGTGGGGTTAGCTCAAAACACGGGAAGCCAGGCAGGCAGCGACATCACTGCAACGTCTGCGGTAGAAAGCGGTGCCTGGCCAGGGACATCGTCTGGGGAAACTGGGTGTGGGGTGAGCAACACCGTCTCTTTCAAATAAAAAGTTAAACAAAGCTGTCACGGGCAGGACCCATAATAAAATGAATGCACAGTTGCTTTTAAAGGGGGAGAGGGGTCGGGTACAAAGAAGCAGGAGGGAGGGAAAGCGGCAGACCCATTCCTCAGGCTTGCTCGACACAAGGCACCTTGCCCAGTCCCGAACTTCTCTCCTCCTTTACGACCACATTTCTGTCTTTGTCCCCGGGTCCCTGGTGCTGTGCGGTTCCCAGCAGCGAACCCAGCAGTGGACCCGGCGGCAGGCCAGCAGGCGGGACGCCCCGGCTGCGGGACAGAACGCGCTGGGGACCCGCCGGGCGCGGAACTCACCCCCGCGATGGGCGCAAAGCTGGGTTCAGAGAGAGTCCGCGGAACGCTGCCACCCCAGGAGCCGGTACCCTTCTCCCCCAGCGAGCAGGCGTCCTGAACACCCCCCCCCCTAACGCTTCCCTGGCCCCTGGATGTGCCTGTCCGTCCCGCGGGAGGCAGGTCGGGGCCGGGACGGCGGGACCCGGGAGCTCCCCAGAGCGCGGCGCGAGGGGGGCGGCGGGCGCCACACGCAGGTACCTTGGCCGCAGGCGCCGCGCTGCAGGACGATGACGGGCGGCTGGTGCTGCCTCTCCGAGCGGCGGCTGGCGGCGCGCAGCTGGCACACGTTGGCGTAGGTGTTGGCGTCGCTGCCGCACACCGGCTCGCTGCCGGCGCACACGCAGAGGCCGGCCGCCGCACCGTGGCCGAGGCGGGCACCCCGAACGGCACGACGCACTGCAGCCCCTCGCCGCACGGGCCCTCCAGCAGGCCGCACTCGGCGCCCTCGGGCGCGCCGCACACCTCGCAGCAGCCGCACGCGTCGCGGACGCGGCCGCCCTCGCAGTGAAGCGGCGGCGCGGAGCAGCGCGCCGGCTCGCAGCGCTCG